CCTTTGATCCCTTTGAACTATTTGAACTCACAGGAAAGTAGGTGATATTTTACATGAGGACAAACACAGCTAGCCATTAGCAAGCACGCTATCCCCCAAGCATCCCACTTTCCTGACAACCCAGGCTCCACCATCAGCCAGTCTCTGCTTCTGTGCAGTGGTTGCAATCTGCTTTCTATCCTTGACTGCAAATGGGGTAACTGCATTCCAAGAGCAGCAAAGGGCACTGCTGCTCAAGTCACAAATGCAGCAAATATCCTCATGGACTTTGGAATGTTTGAACTTCCAGTGTGTCAGATGAGGCAAACCTAAGGTTTTGTCTTTCCACATACTGATTTTGGAGATTTCTGTTCACGAAGCTCACAGAAAAGGCATGATGCACCCTGTACAGACATGCACATCTGCCCCAATTTTCAGTCGTAAGGTATCAGTGAGATGCCATGCAGTGAGGACACTTTGATGCCTGCTATGTATTGGTTTTTCACTACTTGCTGGGAAAATGAGTATGATCCTAAAGTGAGTACTGATCCTAAACTTCCCACTTATGCAAAGCTTATGGTTTGTTCCCTGGGAAGCATTCACTATTCACAAGGGAAGGAGACTGGACCATGGCAAGTTCAGGTCAGCATTGAAGTCCAGCTGTGGTTCAAAGGCTGAGAAAGCTGAAAAGGAATGACCACAAAATTTCTTTGGTGATACTCCATCACAGGAAACTTCTGTGCTGCCAGACTACAGTTATTCACAACTGAGAATCTAGTAAATTATTATTTTGAGACTAAATTGAAAGTTTCAGATGGGGGAATTCACAGCCTTGCTCTCTGACTCTGTGAAATTGGAATTTGAAGTTCTGTTTCAAATGAATCATTTTCAAATGTGAAATAGATGCAGTGGAAGAGTGAGTTAATTTACTTCTCTCTTTTTATGAGCTGTTTGGAGATATCTTACCAAACCTTCACATGTAGCTAATATTGAGTATCACCCACACATGTCCAGGAAGCTGTGAATACTAAACTGAAAACTTTCCTTGTTTGAATGGCTATATCAGATAAATGAAGGCTATTATTTCCTTGTTGAAAGAAATGCATAATTAATGCAATTTGGAAATTATATGGTATAAATTAAAAAACTTTTAAAGACAGTTATTTGAGAAATCAAGGCAAGCAAATGATAGTTTTCAAGTGTTCACAGCAGTAAAGAGGAATGCTTAATCATTTAGTCATACAAACAGTGTGAAAGCTGCAGAGGCAATCTTGCTTCCAGGCATATTGCAAGCTTGGAGTGATGATGTCAAAGGGGTATAACACAGCTAAATATTTCTATTTCTCCTCACATACACAGAATACATTACTAGAAAGAAAAAGTTTTAAATTCAAATTCTTCTCCCCCTCTAACAATGTCTTGAACCACAGGGATCCTGGGTAGGTCAGTAAACTGATCTCCTGTCTACTTACTGGGGTGAAGAAAACAGATTTGTGAGAAAAGCTGGGGTCTGAAACCAGATTTAATACCATCTAATGAAACAAGCAGAGATGCCACACAAAAAAAATGAAGAGAGGCAGGACATTTCCTAAACCTCCTGTTGCTTCTTCTGCACCTAACACTGAAATAGTTATTGGGATGCAAAAAATTAACTGACCCAGTACCACCAAAGGGAAAATTAATAATGGGTCCTACAACAATTACACATAGATTTTATGAGTAAGAGTTTCTTTTTACTATTTTAAACCTATTTTAGAGGTAAATGTAAATGTAAATTTCCTGAAATCCCCCTCCCTTTTTCATTCCTGCCCACCCTGTCCTTTTACTTCCTACTCCCATTATTTCAAGTAGCATATTTTGAAACCAGGGCAAACATCATTGACAGTATGAGGAGGAAAAGCATCACTGCAGTGTGCACCAGGCAGCACAAAACCAGAGCAGCTAAAACACAGTCCAAGCTCCACTAATAGGATCTGTGGGAGACCACCCTTTTTTAGCAATTAATGAAGAGAGGTCAGATTTTAATGCCTTAATCATCTCCCAGCGTGAGGGTAGCAGCATGACAAATTTAACTTGATCCTAAAAATTGCATTTTAAATCCCTTTCCTGCTAGGCTACACCACCTCAGGTGATGAAGTAAAGGAAGAAAAACAAATTGTAACATTTTTCCCCTCAAGTGCTCTGCGCATTTTAATTCTTCACTTGCACATTGCCATCAACCTCTTCCTGCTCTGAATCAATTGCTCTCCACCCAGCTTCACAGGCTGAGTAGTTCCCATATGATTACTCTTGTGGAGGAGATGGAATCAAGCCAAGGATTCAACTGATCCTGGGGATTTTCTGTTTCTGGAGGTAGATTTCCTTGTCTGGCCACTTTCTTTCCCAATACAATTCTCAGTACAAAACTAACATTATCAAATTCATACCCTTGTACTGTTCCCTTGCTGTATGAAAGGTACATCACTGTTTCATGCCAGCCAACATGCACTTCCCTGCCATAGGCTGTGGTATTTCATAGCTACAGCACACGCCCTCTGCACAATGGCTGTGTTCCTCTGTGCCTCAGAGTTTGCTCTTTAGCTCAGGAGGGGATCAGAATGGTGCAGATCCATCAACATTGTGCCCTGCACACTTGGCAGTGAGGAGTAATTTCCAATAATTCAGAATTAATTATGATAAAAGAGTACCCACAATTGTATATGGCACTTTTAATAAAACAATGTAAATGTCTTTTTTTCTCCTAGTCTCTTAAATTTATTTTTAACACACCAAAGAATGAAACTTCCTTTAGCTATGGAAAAAAAATTCCAGCTTCAAAAAATTGGTTCTCAATTCCTCTAGGAGCTGATGAAAATAAAACAAAATAATTTACTTACTAGAGCTAACAAACATTTTATTTTAGTCATACAAGAAAATCTTATTTGAAAGCATGTTTTTAAATTCAAAATCAAAATGACACTAGAAGTTTAAACATGAAATCTGTAATGATTACTTTATTATTTTTCTGCAGCAATTTTCTCAATGTTCCAGCAAAAGTGGAAATTTGAAAGGCGATGTGAAATACTAGTGCAAGGAAAATGAACATGGTTCAATATAATGCTTTAAGACCCCACTTCACATTTATGGTCTAATTCCTCTCTAGTGGTGGTGGTAATAACAACAAAGAAAGAGAAGCCTTTTGTTGCTCTCTTGCCGTTGGTTTTTCAAGGATTTGAAAACTGTTAGGAAAAATAAGTGTCAGAAGACAAAGTTCCTGCAAATAGAGCTAGAACTGAAATCAAAGTGATATGAGAGCACACAAGTCAGCAGGGAGCAGCCTGCCAGAGCCCCTTAAACTTTTAAGTTAAAATGAAACAAAATACAAAGGCTCCCTCAAGGTTCTCCTCCAGTGTGTTCTTCATTTAGAGCTCTCGGCCTAGGAAGTTTTGCACAATTGCAGTGTGAGCCACTGATGTGTTGGTCATGTTTTCATTTCAAGACTCAGGGATGTCTGGCAGTTTTTCCTGTGCCATGCCCTATGCTCACCGTGGGCACACACAACTCCTGGGAAGGGGGATGTGTGTCAGGCTTCTTTATTGCCTTCAGACACCATTATATCCCATTGCCCTGGGGACTATTTGCTGGGGAGCAGTTCGATTGAAGTACAATCTCTTTTGAAACTCTCTTTTTATAAAAGTAAAGTATTTTTAATCTACCAAAACATTACCACAGCAATGAAAAAGTAGCTCAGACCACTGCCCCAGTCACCCTGGGACCTTGGTAGAATGGGGATCAGAGCTGCTGGCAGCACCCACGTGGGTAAGGGATCTCAGCAGACCTCAGTCAGAAAGTAACACTGCTGGGAGTCAGTATTTGGCTGGAAGCTGCTTAGAAACACCTCAGTGGTCATTTGTTTAGGGAAGCACAATGGGTGATTTGGCCACTTGTTGAACAGTATCTGACCTGGATCCCTTCAGAACAAGAGCACGGGACCTACTGCCTGGGGTGCAAAGCTAAGGCCTATGGGATCCTGGTAAAAATCTTGAGCCAGCCTTAGGGACCAGAGCTTTTACTCCAGAGACTTTGTGTTCCTACTTGCGGCTCCCATAATGCTGGACATCTTGATTTTGGATTTCAGAGGATGAATCCTTTATAGCCAACAGACATGCTGGGTAATGGCATGAAGTGCAGAACATCTGCATTGCTGTGTAAGTTCTTATAGAGGAAAGAGTCATTCCTGCTGCTCTACTGAAAAATTACTCCAGGAGAGAAACATTTATCTGGGATAAAGTCTCCCCCTCAGGATATGATCCACAGTGTCTAGTGTTCATGGGGTTGGTTCCAAACCTGCAGGGACCTTATGAAGCAGCTTTTGCAATGCAAACTGCAACCAACATCAATACGACTCAGTACAGAATCTCTGTCTGTCACTTAGATTACCCAAGCATCACTTTAAATTATAATCTGTTTTGCAGGAGTCTCATGTTTTTAGTTGTTTCCCAAAGTGAGTATTCAAGAAGAAAGAGTGGAAGTATTTCTGGAGTTGAGCACTCAGTATTGCACGTTCAGTTCCCAATTATACAGCAGTAAACTGCAGCACTGAAGCGGGAGCAAGGCTCTGTCGGCTGAAACAGGGAAGGGACAGAGGGTTTAGTGAAACAGAGTACAAGACCCAGTCAGGGCACAAGAGCTTGGTACAGGCCGGGAGGCTGCTGTGCATGTACGTGTAAATCCTGCCCGTCCAGACCCTAACCCGGGGCGGAGGGAGCTGCTGCCCGCCCGCGGTGTGTGTCTGCCCGCGGCAGCGGGCAGCCGGAGGGGCTCGGCAGGGCAGAGCCAGGGTCGCGGCGGCGGCAGCGTCCCCCCTTCTGGGAGACACCGGCGGATGGGGAAAGATCGGGGACGAGCCGGGAGGCGGTGGGATGGGAGAGAGAAGAGAAGCGGGAGGGGAGGGAAGAAGGTTGCGGGAGGAGAAGGGGAGGGGACAGGAGTCGGGGTGGGCTGCGGGGCGGGGGGGACAGCGAAGATAATAAAGCCGGGGAGAAGGGGGAGAAGGAAGAGGGGAGCCGGGGAGAGCTGGACGAGCGGCGATGGTGCTGAGGGTGTGAGCGGGGCCGGCGGGGCGGCCGTGCCCGGCGGGGCGATGGTGCCTGGGCGGCGGCGGCGGCGGCGGCTGTGAGCGGGGCGTCGCCATGGGCTGCGGGGGCAGCCGGGCCGACGCTATCGAGCCGCGCTACTACGAGAGCTGGACGCGGGAGACCGAGTCCACCTGGCTGACCAACACGGACTCCGAGAGCCCGCCGCAGGACGGCGGCAGCGCCGAGGGCCCCGGCCGGGAGCAGGGCGGCCCGCGCCCCGGTGAGTGCGGGAGACGCGAGCGGGCACCGCGGGGAGGGGAGCGGCGGCGACACCCTGTGTGTGCTCCTACACACCGTGTGTGTGCGCCTACATATCCTGTGTGTGCATCCACACACGCTGTGCGTTCACATACACACCCTGTGTGTGTACCTACAGATCCCGTGTGTGCACCGACACCCGCTGCATGTACACGTACACACACACCCTGTGCGTGCACCGACACCCGCTGCATGTACACGTACACACACACCCTGTGTGTGCACCGACACCCGCTGCATGTACACGTACACACACACGCTGTGTGTGCATGGAGGGGGTGTGCGCCGATCCCCCCGTGTTCCTGCTGCGAGAAAACGCACTCCGCCGCTCCAGCCCCCCCGCCAAGAAATGCAGGCGCCCGAGTCTGCTCTGATGCCGCGGCGGCTCGGAACGCTCTGAGCGTCTGCCCTGCCCGGCCAGCCCCGCCGAGAGCCGCCCCGGCACGGGGCAATGCCAGGAGTGGCCCTCGGGACCGGGCAATGCCTGGAGCGGCCCCGCCGCGCTCCGCGCTCTGGGCTACCAGAGCCGGTTCGGGCTCTAGAGACCCTCTCACGGCGGTGCTCGGCTACCAGCGAGAGCGCACAGACGCCGTCCACTGTGAAACAGTGTTATCAGAAGGGAAAAGAACTCGGTCCTTGAACTCTTGCTGTGGAATACGTGGCTTTTTCTTTTGCATGGCAAGTAGTTTAGGAAATGAATTGAAATTAGGGAAGAGGTAGCTTTCTTCCACACTACCTCTGATGCCTTCTGTTATACAGAAAGTTGACCAGACGGTGGGTTGGACAAGAACAGACCTGCAAGTCTGAATTTCCCAGTTCTTGCCAGTATGCTGCCTCCCCAGCTGTGCACCTGAGGTGTTACAGAAGTAACAGATATGGGAAAGGGATTGAGGAGCTCTGATCTGATGTGCAGTTTAAATTGATTTAAGAATTACTGTGTATTGCAGCAGTATCTAGAAAGCTCAGCTTAAGTCCAAAAATTCATTGTGCTAGATATTGTACAAATGGTTGCTGCACAGAATAATAACAATTTCCATGTAAAGCAGTAAATGCCTGTAGGCAGGTTCAGATGTAAATAAGTAGCTTTACAGATTTTGTAGAAAGTAACAAAGCACCAGGAAGAAATTATGAAAGTGCAGGAGTGAAAATTCACAAAGGTGGGCATTACAGGCCAGCTGGAACAGGATACCACAACTCTCTGCTGACCAAAATAGGGAGGGAGAAGTCACAAAGGGTCCATGTTATACTCCTAAAAGCTCAAGAAAGACTCTGTAGTGGTCACATGGGAAACTATGAGCATTTGAAGGTGAATGGGTCTATGAAATACCATATTAAAGAAGATTAGATAAGGAATTTAACTTTGAAAGTGAATGGGTCTATATTAAAGAAGATTAGATAAGGAATTTAAAGAGGATCAAGATGATGCTGACCAGTAAGTTCAAATTATAGGTAACAGTGTTGTCTCCAGCAGTGAAAGCTAAACAGAGTGTTAGCTTTTTACCCACACTTGCCATTATCTTAGCCATGTTTACTTTGAGTTGGTACCTAATCATAAACAGAAGCTAGACAGTCCAAGATCTGACTCTGAATAGGAGGTAATAAAGAGGTAGATCAGTAATTATTCTTCCTAGAAACATGTGGTAATTGACTTTGTGTTTGGAGATGAGAATACCAGAGATAAGGAGAGGAGAAAAACACTCAAGACAATAAAGACTGAGGGACATGAAAAGCTTTACAAGACAACCTTGCAGAAGAAATTAGAAGGAAGATGATGAGGAAAGGACAGAGTAGAAGCAAAAACGATGAGTAGGACTTCAGTTAGGGCAAGATTCACTCTTCAACAGAGCTGTGGTGGCAGCAGTTTAAGGAGCCTGAGGAACACACACTGCTCCCAATTAGTGCCTCAAGAGTCATAAAGTACTTCAGGGAGAGCTTTTGTAGGGTAAGGTTTGAGGTAGGGAAGGAATAGGGATAAGGAGAGGCACTCCAGGGACTATAACGCTACTTTAAGTGAATTTACAGATGAAAGGGAGAGGAAGGAGCAATTGAAGGGGCAAATGAGGTCAAATATGGGTTTAAGACATGAAGAGGAATTACATGACTTTATTGTGAGAGCTGAAAACTACCTCAGAGTGAGAGACAAAAAGGAAGGGTAAGGGAGGGGACAAGAGCAGGATGGGAGAGATGGGAAAATGGGAGATGACATTGGCACAAGGCAAGGTGGGAAGGAGCTGTAACTGGGACACAGAAAGGGAGGACGCAGCCAGGGAAGGGGGCACCAGCCAAAGGAGGTTGGGGAAAAAGGATGAAGTTCTTCTCTGTCATTTTTCTTTTGGAATAAATTGGTGAAATTCTGTGAAGAGAGAGAAATAGAGATAGGATGAAAGAAATATTTTGGGAAAAAAATTGTTTGGGAAAAGACAAAAGCAGTAAGATGTGGTTGTGATTGCCAACATGTTTCAGTCATAGAAAAAACAGAAGAATTTGACATCCAAATATAAAGAGGAGTAAATCACTTAGGGACAAAAGAATGTCATGTATACAGAATCAGAGTGTGTGCCAGTGAGGAAAGGGTTAGTAACTACCATACATTAATCTTAGTAATTTCATACCACCACAAATTTCATCATATGCTTCTATTTTTTCAGCCAGTACATTCAGCTATCTATGCCTGCTTTCAGGCACAAATACATATTTCTGTAGCCAAATGTTTGTACATTTACCAAAGCATTTTGAAAGCTTAAATATTATTAAATTAATGGGAAAGTATTGAGGTTTTTTAATTTTCTAATTTGCATTTCTATTTTTCCAATTTCAATTGATCCCTTATTAAAATATTTGTTAATTTCCCTACTTGATTTTTTATATCCATTTTTATAAAGTGTATTGTAATCTCCCAGTGTTTACAGGAAGACATAGAGGCTGGTATTAGTTGCTATAACATACCTACAATAAGAGAGATGGTCTTAGGTTCATGAGAAGTGACTTAGGTGATGAGAAGTCACTGACAGATACAAATATAGTTGGTTGTAACTTGATGGTGTTGCAGTACACTGCTGAGGCTTTGGCAAGGAGGAACAGGGCAACCAGGTATGGGTGAAGAGGGATAGAAAAGTAATAACTTCATGAAGCACTGCAGGTGCTGGAATTGAAATAACAAGTAATAACTTCATGAAGTACTGCAGGTGCTGGAATTGAAATAATAAGTAATAACTTCATGAAGTACTGCAGGTGCTGGAATTGAAAGGCATTTTCTGGAAAATAAGTGTATGTACTGTTCATAGGATGAGTGGCTTCTGTGAGGGAGAAAAAAAGGAAAGAATCACAATGAGCCCTTACAATAAAGCAATTTCTTGGAAGAACATCCATTGCTATGTGAGCAAAGAACTTTTCACAGGACTGAGCTACTGCGTAGGCTATAGCTGGGGGAAATAATGGACTACATTTCTGCTTAGTAACCGTTCCTTGATCCTTGCAACTCTTTGCACAAATTGCTTTCTCTTTAGAGGGTCTGATTCAGCTAAGTAGAACTGTTAGCAAAGTAATGACTTTTGGAGGAAGCAATAATCTGTGGGTACAGATGAGTCCCCAGGGCAGTCACCATGGGTTGCACGCAAACCACGGGGAAAAGGTTGGATTCACAAAAAGCACAAAAAACTGTCAAGTATTTTGGAACATGTTTGCACAACTTGTTGTGTTATACTGGGACAATTTGCTGAAGTGTATATGTATATGTATATGTATATGTATATGTATATGTATATGTATATGTATATGTATATGTATATGTATATGTATATCCTAGAAATTTAAGATGTACAATTTACTGCCTGAAACCAGAATCATAAATGTACTCTATAAACACATCCAATATAAACCAACAAAAATTTATTTTGTTTGTTTTAAAGCAGGTTTAAAGCCATCTTATTTCTACTTCTTTCTATTTTCACTGACAAGGTTAGCTGCTGTTTTCAATTATTCTTTCTTTATTATACCTGACTGTGCCTCAGAGTGGATATGGCTTGTTGTCTTGTGGCTAGAGAGACTTTACAATCAATTTAACCTGTGGGCTGCAAATAATTTAGGACAGGATCTCTCCTTACTGTTTTCCCACAGCAACCAGTGCAGTAAGACCCCAGTCTCCAATAGGGATTGTTATGAAATGCAAATAAAAGTAATTAATTTTTTTATGATGTAGCAACCAAGTAAACAATAATTCTCTTGTCTCAGAATGGAAAAGTTGAATACTGATTGCCTCAGGGCTGACTTGTTCCTCAGCTATGAAATTATTTGTTGATTTTTTTTTTATCATGATGTGACTCACAGTATCAGCTAAAAAAATTGCTTTTTAGTCTTTGAACTTTACACTTTTTCCTTAGTAAAGTAATTTTTTTCTGAAGCATATTAAAGAAAACATTGTCTGTATATCACACAGACACACCTGATCTACTCAGAAGGAAAACTTGCCCATGGCATCAGCAAACAGAACTGCAGTAAGTGGTCTGCCAGGAATGAAACCTGCAATTTAGGATCAGTGAAGACATTTGCAAAATAGCTATGAAATGGGAGGGCAAACGAGTCCTTTGTAAAATAAATAGAGATAATCAGAGGAATACAGGAGAAATTTTATCACTGTCTAGCAATCTGGCTGGATGACAGTTTATCTTGCATAATTGTCCTAATATGCTCGTGTGTTTATGAGTGATTCCTGCCCTGCTCTCCGGGGCTCAGTGCCTGGCTCATGCTGCTGCTCCACTGGCTCCTGAATGACAGTTTATCTTGCATAATTGCCCTAATATGCTCGTTTATGAGTGATTCCTTCCCTGCTCTCCGGGGCTCAGTGCCTGGCTCATGCTGCTGCTCCACTGGCTCCTGGTCGCTGACAGCTCCGGGACGTTTTAAGGACCAGGCTCATCATTTGCAGCTAGGCTTTGGTCAAGCCTCAGTAAGCCAAATGCGGCG